CTCTGGGAAGTCCAGATGTTACTGTTCTTCTGATGGGGTGCTCTCTGCTCTGGGAAGTCCAGATGTTACTGTTCTTCTGATGGGATGCTCCCTGCTCTGGGAAGTCCAGATGTTACTGTTCTTCTGATGGGATGCTCTCTGCTCTGGGAAGTCCAGATGTTACTGTTCTTCTGATGGGATGCTCTCTGCTCTGGGAAGACTGATTTTATTGTTGCCTTGCCTTTGCTATAGGAAAGTGCTTCCTTAGGTTAAGCTACAGTGTGCTTCTCAGTATCTTTCCATACAGCTGCATAGTCTCCAGTAGCCCCTGCTCCTCAGGGTACAGTATTCACCGTGGTTTCAGCCATTCCTCACGGAAGGACTTCCAGGGTCACATTTAGAATTGCTTGTCAGCTGGGCAGTGGTGGTGCACACCTTTAATCCCAGCACTTGGGAGGCAGAGGCAGGTGGATCTCTGAATTCAAGGCCAACCTGGTCTACATAGAGTTCCAGGACAATCAAGGCTACACAGAGAAATTCTGTCTCAAAAAACAAAACAACAACAAAAAGGAATTTGCTTGTCTATGAAACCCCTAATTTTAATGTTACCAGACAGATAGCGTGGCTCACACTTTCCTGGGTCAGTAACTAATTTCAGAATTCTTTCTAAAGATTTGCTGTGATTAGAGGAACAGGCAGCATTGTCTAAAGCAGTGGTTCTCAACCTGTGGGTCATAACCCCTTTGGGGTCCCATATTGGGTATTTACATTACGATTCATAACAGTAGCAAAATCACAGTTATGAATAGCAACAGGAGTAGAAATAATTCTTTGTTGGGGGTCACTACATCACGAGGAACTGTATCACAGGGTCACAGCGTTAGGAGGTTGAGAGCCGCTGACCTAAAGGATGGATTTCTGAACTGAGGGTTTAAAGGTGCCTTTCACTGTCATGTACCCCAGACTGGCTTTGAACTTGCTAATCAAGAATGACCTTGAACTCCTGAACCTCCTGGATTGACCTCACAAGTGCTGGAATTACAAACGTGTGCCACCATATCTGCTAAAGACAGTTCTGAAGATGGAGTCCTTGACGTTTCTGTAGATTGGTACAGTCTTTGGATATTGGCCAACCTACCACTACGCTATATAATTTAATTTGCTTTTTAATACTCTGCTCTAGAAATAGTTAACAGGTTAAGTAGAGTTCAGCAAGGCAAGGCACAGGGTTTGTGGGCATGTTGATGATGAGCAGTTGAGGGCTCATTAGCTTTGTGACCCACTCAGCAAATATCCAACTCCCCAAATAAGCACTTGCAGCTGTGTGTTTGTGAACTTTCGGGAGATCCCTTTTGAGTTTTCAAAATTACAATCTCTGTCTCTCTCTCTCTCTCTCTCTCTCTCTCTCTCTCTCTCTCTCTCTCTCTCTCGAAAAAGAGTATCATGTAGTGGCCAGGTGGTGGCGGTAGTGCACGCCTTTAATCCCAGCACTCCGGAGGCAGAGCCAGGCGGATCTCTGTGAGTTTGAGGCCAGCCTGGTCTACAGAGTGAGAGCCAGGACAGGCACCAAAACTACACAGAGAAATCCTGTCTCGAAAAACAAACAACAACAACAAAAAGAATATCATGTAGCCCAGGCTGGCCTTGAATTCCCTCTGTAGCCAAGTATGGCCTTGATTTTCTGATTCTCATGTTTCTACCTTGAGAAAGCTGGGATAACGGACATATACCGCCTCACCCGGTCTGTGCAGTGCTGGGGACTGAACCTGGGGCTCCATGCGTGCTGGGCAAGTACTGCTCCAGCCAAGCTCCATCCCCAGCTCCAGCTGGCAAACCTCACATGCAGCATCCAGGCCAGTCTACTCTGTTTTCCCCTCTTCTGTCTCAGAGGATGCTGTAAGGTGCCTTGAGATCAGACTTGTTAACACCGGGAGCCTCAGAAGGTTTTAGTGAGCAGTTGTTTCATTGGGTTTGTTTTTGCTTTTCACGCAGAAAGTGGTACTAACCCTGTGCCCTTTACCAGTTTGCCATTTTCAGCAGAAGACTCTGCGCACATACAGGACCACTACACGCTCCTGGAACGCCAGATCATCATTGAGGTCAGACTCCTTGTCTCTGCTTCCCGCATTCAGCATCCAGGCCACTCCTTTGCTCTGCACATGCCATTTTCTGTCACAACCTTTGATTTCCTCTCCGAGTTTTCCTTGACAGTTCTTAAGCACCCTTTCCCTCTTGCCTGCTGCTAGCCTGGGGATATTTCCTGTTTCATTTTTATTCCAAATTGCTTGTGTCATATCTACTGCCTCCATTTCTTCTCCCCCCCCTTCCCTTCCCTCCCTCCCTTCCTTCCTTTCTTATTTGTTTCTTTTCTTTCTTTTTGTTTTTGAGACAGGATCTCATAGAGCCCAGGCTGGCCTAGAACTGCTGATCTTCTTCCCCCCCCCTCCCCCAAGAGCCAGGATCACAGGCATGCAGCACCAAGCTGAGCTGTTGAGATCTCTTAATTAAACTTGAAATCTGTGATCCATTTATGGATTTTAGTCCTCCCTGGGACATCCTAAGCGATTTCTATGTTTTTCTCTTTTGCTTCGTTCCTAGGGTGGGAAACAACTGCTGTAGTAGTACAGGTTGTTTTCCCTGCCTCTCCCCATCACTTGGCTTACTCCATCACAGGTGAACGATCGACATCTCGAGTCTGCGGGGCAGACTGAGATCTTCCGGAAGCACCCCCGTAAGGCTTCCATTCTCAACATGCCACTGGTGACGACGCTCTTCTACGCCTGCTTCTATCACTACACGGAGTCCGAGGTACAGGCGGATAAGCAGGAGCATTGTTCAAATCCAGGGCTGTGAGGTATTGTCAGTGGACTCGTGTGGTTTTCAGAACTCACCCAGAAACTTCTCAGGCCCTCACAAGAGTGAGCCGAAGGGACAAAGGTTTATGAGGGTTTGTGTGGCCATGTGTGGTCGGCACGCTAGCAGAGCACCGGGTGTCTCTGGCTCCCTTAACAGTGGCATAGAGAACAGTGTCATAGGGCTGTGGAGTGCTCTCTATTTGAAAAAAATAACTTTATGTGCATTGTAGCCGGAGGGCTTCTCTCCAGGTTCCCCAAGCCCCGCAGTCCCACAATCCACTTATAAAATAATCACTCAGACGCTTATATCACTTATAAACTGTATGGCCATGGCAGGCTTCTTGCTAACTGTTCTTATATCTTAAATTAACCCATTTTTATAAATCTATAGCTTGCCACGTGGCTGGTGGCTTACCGGCTTCTTTACATGCTCTTCTCCTGGCGGTGGCTGCAGTGTCTCTCTCCCCTTCTTCCTGTTTCCCCAATTCTCCTCTCTCTTTGTCCCGCCTATACTTCCTGCCTGGTCACTGGCCATCAGTGTTTTATTTACATAGAGTAATATCCACAGCAGTGCATGGGTGGTTTATTTTACCTTCATGCATGCCTGGTACCCATGGAGGCCAAACAGGATATCTGATCCCCTGGGACTGGAATTACAGATGATTGTGAGCTACCATGTGGATGCTGGGAATTGAAGCCAGGTCCTCTGCAGGAGCAGCCGGTGCTCTTGACCACCGAGTCATCTCTCCAGCCCCTTTTCTTTTTTAAAAGTTTGGACTTGACTTAACCTTCACAAGTATGCTTCTCTCGGCCGGGCGGTGGTGGCGCACACCTTCAATCCCAGCACTCAGGAAGCAGAGGCAGACAGATCTCTGTGAGTTCGAGGCCAGCCTGGGCTACCAAGTGCAAAACTACACAGAGAAACGCTGTCTCGAAAAACCAAAAAATAAAAATGAAATAAAAATAAAAACAAATATGCTTCTCTCTTACTTGGATTAGCAGGAAAATGGAAAAAGCACTGTGCTCACTAATCATCTTCCCGATGAAGTAGGTTGTGTGCCTTTCTGTTAGACCTGAAGGAGACTTTCTCATAAATTGATTTCTGGGTTTAAATGGTTTACAATAAATAGTAGAATAATAGAAAAGAAAGTGGGGACATTGGGTGCTGTCATTGAAGTTTCTTTTCCCCTATCATTCTAGGGGACCTTCAGCAGTCCCATCAACCTGAAGAAGACATTCAAGGTAGCCTTGCCGTGACTCTTTTGTAAAGTAGCGTCAGGGTGTTGCATGGAGTGGATGTGACGTGGTAACCCTGTGTGTGTCCAGGGCTAGGACTTTGTGTCAGTGAAAGAGAACTCTAGTGCTGCCGTGTACGGCGGTGTGGCCTGGGACGATAGTGGTGTTTGACGACCCGAGCGTCCGTTGACTTTAAAGGACAGGATCAATAGCAGCAAACAGGGACACTTTTCTAGCATGTCAAAGCATTTAACGGATGCATTGGTATTTCCTCTTACGTTTTCCTGGTTTCTGCTCTTCAGATCCCAGATAAACAGTATGTGCTAACAGCCTTGGCTGCTCGTGCCAAGCTTCGAGCCTGGAATGATGTTGATGCCCTCTTCACCACAAAGGTGGGTGTCCTGACACTTGTGCGTCCGAGGCCTTTGGAGCGAGAATGCCTTCATGGGCCTCTCAAATTCCAGGTGCTGACGAGTCTTCTTCCAGCCTCTGTGTTCTGAAATTTTAAGTGTAAAGAAAATTTGGAAGAAGAGTCTAGTAGCCACTGTTTCTCCCTGCTGATTGATTAGCAGTTTGCTGTATTATTTAGCTTTTTCTTTTTTTTTTTTTTTTTT